TCTGAAAAAGAATTAAACATGCATAGTCATGGTTCAAATATAAGGCATATTAAAATACTGCTAAGAGGTAAAGAGAATACATTTGATCTTGATTTTGGATACATTCTACTTCAAGTGGTCCAGAGGGTGACTTCTAAATAGCATATTATGTGGCCATATAATTGAATAATTTATATAGTTCTAATAATGTAAATGCAGATTTTTTTCTATAATTTAAAATATTTTAACCAAAATATGTGTACTTCTTTCAAATAAGTAAAATAACGTAGAACTTACACTAAAAAGCAAGTTTTTACCCCATCTCACTCTTTTCCACCTTCATACTCTAAAAGCAATAATACTTAACTATTTTTTGTTCTAGATCTTCTAGTCACTATTTCCATGCTTCTAAATAATATGCTTATATAGTTAGATTATCAACTTTAGAAGTGATTTGTTGACTTTCTGCAAAGATAATTAAGAATTTATCTTACTTATCTTCCAAAACCCTGCTTATCTTCCCTCTCAGAATCACACATCATTATTTTTACTTCATCTATTTCTTCCCTTATTGCTTTAAAGAATATTTAAACCTTTGTCTCTTGTTCCATCATGCTAGCATAGATCACTTGACTCCTCCTTACATATAGTAAGGATATAAATATCCCTATCCTTCTCTTCACATACCTTCCAAATATTCAAATCCCCAAATTCCATCACCTCTACTTGTCAATATTCACTTGGAGTTTTTCGAATATCCTGAATACAAGTCCGTTATTGAATATATGTATTGTGAGTATCATCTCCCAGGGTGCCTCACTGCTCTCTTAATGGTGTATTTGTTAAGTCTTTCAGTTCATAAAAACCAGTGTATCACTTGTTCTTTACAGTTAGTGTTGTCCGTGTTCATTTAGGAAATGTTTATCTAGAAGGCAGTGTCCCCAAGATGGTACCAAAGGTCATAACTGATTTCACTCCACCTCACAAGAAGATCAACTAAAGTCCACCTCCTCCTCCTCCTCCACCTCCTCCAAGTCCTCCTCCACCTCCTCCTCCAACTCCTCCTCCTCCTTCAGCTCCTCCTCCTCCTCCACATCCTCCTCCTCCACATCCTCCTCCTCCACATCCTCCTCCTCCTCCTCTTCCACCTCCTCCTCCTCTACCACCTCCTCTTCCTCCTAAATCTC